CCAGAGAAGCTGTGGCTGCCCCCTCCCTGGCAGTGCTCAAGGCCAGGTTGGATGGAGCTCTGAGCACCCTGGGCTGGTGGGAGATGTCCCTGCTGATGGCAGGGGGGTTGGAACCAGATGATCTTCAAGGTCCCTTCCAACCCAAACCACTCTGTGATTCTATGATTATCTGTTCATGTGTGAAAAGCGTGGTGCAGCTTTGGTGATGCTGTCCTGGAGCCACGGGCAGAGCTGTGTAGCGGGATCGCTGGTACTCAGCGGTCGTTACCCCACGGTCTATGTTTTCCACCTTTGTGCAGGGAAAAGTAAGGCAAATGAACCTGGTGCGCTGCTCATGGCTGGATCCAAAGCTCCATAAAGTGGATTTTTTTTTTTTCCTCGGGTATTATCAAGTCATTTTGCCAAAATGAAAAGTTTCTAAAAATGACTACTGCGGCAGTCACTGAGAAGCCAGATTTTTGGTGGAGGCGGGCCACAGCGTGTGCTTTAACTAGACTTGTCTCTCGAGTTTCTGGAAAAGAATTTTAGGGCTTAAAATAGAGAGAGTCTGCTCTTCTTTTTATATTAAAAGTTTTTATTAAAAAAGCTGTTTAGTCTCTGAAGCCATGTACATGTAGGTTTGTGGGGGAAGAGTGGAGGGAACGGAGAACCCCGAATGCCAATTACATCCACGTGATTTTTACCCAAAGTCGGATCAGAAACGTGGCGGATGCTCTGCCGCTGTCGCTGCGCCGACGAGCGCGGATGTTCAGAGCCCAGCTGAGCCTGGTGACGCAGACAGGAGGGAAGAGCCAGCTTCTCCCTGCACATCCGATTCTTCATTCTGGAGAATGAAGAAGTGTCGCATCCGTACAGAGAACCGGTGGGAGAAACGAGAGGCTGAAATTCAGGGAGAAGGCGCGTTGGTACGAGAGCCGCCTACCCCTCACCCGATGATCCGGGCCAGGCTGAACCCAGCTGCGGTCGGAGCGTGTATGTTTGGGAGGGGTTTTTTTTTCCTCTCCCAAAAAATAATGAGTATATTGCCAAGGATCGTGGGCTTTGCCGCTGCTGGACAGCTAAAGACCTTCCTCTGGCCCTTCGGAGAGCAGCCGGGTGTTGCTCTGCCAGGTGACACCGC